GGAGGCAAAAAAACCACAACCCTACTGTTTAGTTTCCCGCCAGTGCGTTGCCACTTTTTCAATTCACTTTATTTCATGAATTCGTGAACTATGCATAAACGGGACCATTTTTGAATTCATGAAATGAAGAATTCAGAATTCTGTCGCATAAACGTAGTAACAGATGTAAGGCTTTCGTTAGGTTAGTTAAAATGGCAATGGAAAATATTCCCTTTGACGACCACAAAACTATAATCAGAGCGTTGGTGTGTTTAAGCCACCGATTATAAATGTGTTGAAAAGAAATAAGAAAACTTGTTATTAGTATCACTAATAATAACAACCTTGTTTATTCATTTTACAATGTAATGTGTACATATATCAGTGTTGCCGCGCCCGAAAAATAAAGTTTAACAAATTCCTTCAAAAAGTTTAACATATCCCGTTAAAATTAAGCAACTTCTTTAACGGGTCTTATTAAAACGAAAATGCTTGGAGTTACTATTTGTTTCATCCTGAGCTTGGTAAATTGGTTATAGAAATAAAAAGTAAGCAAGTCAGTAATTAAAGGCTCTCTAAGGCTGAGTTTTGTCGTCAAAAGTAAGGATGTCTAAGGGCCAATTTCAAATGAATATTTAAACGGCACTTAAGTTTGATTGTGGATTGTTGTTTAAATGCAATTTAGCTTTCGTTGGGTTTCAGATCAACTTAAACAGCTGATTGTTTTAGGTGGGATTTGGTGGGATTGATTAAACAACCTACCAATCAATCTTGGTTGTTTGGTATAAACACAGGGTTGCATATCTCATATTTAAATAGCAAAATTGGCCATTTAAGTGCAGACCAAATGTATGATCTGAAAATTAATAGTGGAATTTAATCAACAATCTCTACTTAAGTAGACCATCTGAAATCGGGCCTAACAGTTGCTAAATTTGAAAACTATTAACATTCTTTCAGGTTTTCAACACATACTCCTATAATAGTTATCTGCCATTTCGCTAGTTTTTTGAATGCATGCAAAAAACTAGTTTGACATCATGTTTTCCATAATGTGCGTGTTGATCTTGTCATGCAAATGAAGGGACCTAAAGTTCTAGGTCGCCTCCGAACGGCAAATGGTTTTTATGAGAAGCGATTTTCATGGTGGCTTGAAAATGCGACGACCGTAGATCGGGAATTGCGTAGAGAAACATTTGCTGGAACCTTATGTGGGCTCTGGATGACAGTCTCCCTAAAATAAATTTGAAAAATTTATTGAAATGGTAACTCTTCTGACTATGAATTTTTGAGGAAAATTATCCTTTTTGACTATTTAGATAAAAATATTTAGCAAAACGAAGAAAAGTTTAACATTTTAACACGCAGGAAAAACTTTAGCAATTTTGCTTAAATTTAACAAAACGGCAACGCTGTCATATATATATATATATATATATATAGCTACTTCAGGTTACCTTGAATATACATTTCTGGAATTTGGTGGCTGCTTACTTAACGAAAGTTATAATTGAATATTTTCTTAACATAGTAGTTAACAGCTCGACGGCAACCATAATATCGTAAGTATGTTAACTATTAGGGTGGGTTGAAATGTTCAAGAAAATTTGGGCCTGTAGCCTAAACATGCCGGCCCCCTTGTGGCACGTAATATTGTCAGAAAGTCCAACGACCATGCTCCGTTGATCTACTTATTTTAATTCATTTCCTTAACTGGATATTCACCATCCTCTGGTGCTGATCTCCGTTGACCTAGATTTCGACCGAACAAAAGAAGTGTTAAAAAATAAACGTGGCTTAAAATTTCACTTGCCCTTTTTTCATTTTGTCGAGGACATGAGCACCAATTTGATCGAGATTGACTAGTATTAATATTTTTCTCATTTCTCATATTCTGCCTGCGGCCGTCAAGCTTATCTTTATGCTATTGTGAATTAATGGAAATGGAAAATTGTATTGTCTTGGTTGTAAGCGGTGTCATGGGGAGACCTGTGCTCGCAATTAGAAAGTCTTAAATACTTCCTTTTCAACTACCGCCGCGGCCGCATCGCACTCGTTTTGTAATTAACCGCATATCAAGCCACTCGGGCTAAAAAAAAAAATTCATTCATTTTACTAAACATCGTTATCTTAATTTTCTTGAATAAAGTCGATTTAATTATTTGAATTATATCAAAATCCAATGGGTTTTTTAATTGATGTGGATTCTGTCGCTTGGCGCACCCTGCGCTAGTATTTATTACTCCCTTAAAAATCAACATGGTCCTTTGTCGCTAAAGGGCAACCCGCGACCGAACAAAAAGTACATGAGTAATACACAGCGAATTAAATCAATCAGTCGAAAGAGAACGTAAAAGCGGCCGGTAGTTACGCGGAAGAAAAAGAGCAAGCGGTAGTGAAAAAATAACCAAATCGGAAGAAATCGAGAAAAAAACTACGAAAAGTTAATAAAATTAATGAATTTGAATGAAAATTAAAATATAGTATACGGTGAAACAAAAAAAAAACATAGCCATCTGCTAAAGCAGCCCCTCATGGCGTGCATTAGGGTGGTTTGACATATGTAAAAAAAAAAAAAACAATGAAAAGGGGGTAAATTGACGCAAAAAAACGTGAAAATATCTGAAAATTAAAAAGTTGAGAAAGCAAAGTATTACCTGAAAAGAAAAGAAAAATTCAGTAAAAAGCAAATAATTACCTGAAAAAAAAGAAAATTTATTAAAAAGCAAATAATTACCTGGAAAAAAAGAAAATTCTATAATAAATCTGAAAAAGTCGTATAAGAGGGCAAAAAGGGTATAATTATACAACAAAATGAAACAAAGGGCTGAATAGCGTACTGAACAAAGTGTATATTTACTTACATGTAACCAAAAATAAATACAGTATCCAGTTAAAAAGGGCTGAAAAAGAAAAAGTCCCAAAGATATCTAAAAAAAGCTACATATTTACAAAAAAAAACTACCTGTTAAATAAAAATAAAGGCCCTACAATAAAAAAGGGAAAAAGGTAAATTAAAAACCGACTTAGCGGCAGTGAAGACCCCTGCACCAACAGCAAAGACAGCGAATAGCAGTAACAGCAGCAAGACCAAAGAGCGGCAACAACAGGATACAGTCCATTTCAGGCGGTACAGTCCCGACAGAAAAAAACAGATGGTACCCAATAAGCAAGTAAGTGCACCATTTCACTACACCAAACTTGCACATAAAAAGATACATATATTACGTACATATCTCAATTTGTTAGCGGTTCCCCAGTACGGTAAATTGAAGTCGCTGAACTTCTAATTTACCGTAACTAAAGTCATATCTCCTCAAGACATACTGTTGGAGCACGCCTAGTTCATCATCGTAACCTTCATTTATTTTCATTTTTATATATACATATAGTATGTTCATTTTACATGAAATTCACAGCATTATCGATTTGCATATCGAACTCATATTTGTTTGCACATGAATTGTATTTACATATGTATGTAATACTTCATATTTCTTGATATAATCATACATTAATATTTTAATTGTTAAGCCTAATACTCAATTAGGGGATTCACAAGACGTGTTAACCGTCGTAAAATCTTAAGCTTAACATTTTTTTTATGTAAAATAACAGTTAAAATGGTTCTAGGGGGGCTAATTATATATTTTTTTATCGAATTAAAAACATTTCGGTGTAGTTAGAAATCCTCTAAAAGCATTTTATCCGTTATTTTATATATAAAAAATAGGCTTAAGATTTTACGACGTTAACGCGTCTTGTGAATCCCCTAAATGTAATCTTTGGATGTAGTGTTTAAGTAGTATTTGTTTCTATATGTACATATGTACAACATTAAATGAATTGTATTATTTAAATACTACATACAGGGCTTTTCAGGATTTTCTGCTAATGATCTTGGATTTGCATAACATACTGAACAGCCCTTATGCATAGGTGCACAAACTTGTGCACTCTAGAATTCCTCAACTTTAAAACAGAGTATTTTTGTAAATAGTGCAGCCCTGCGTGGCCGCTGAATATACACTCACACTAGTATATATATATTATAGTACATAAGAACCATTTGAGGCTATGTACTTCTCTGGAATGAATAAACTGAATTATTGCAAAAGATAATCGGACCGGTCAACACCACTCCTAATTTGCTCGCTCGTTTCCTCCAAAGTTCCGCCGTCGGTAGTGATTTTAATTAAATCTTTGCAGTTTCGCGGTTAAATAAGTTTGCTTAGTTGTTGGTAGGAGCATACGACTGCCCTACAGTTCATAAATTTAAATTTGTTAAATAAAGTTTTTCGAAGCGTAAACTAGCGCTTCGTCATTGGCGACCGTGACAGGACACAGGCCAGTGTTCTCTCAGTTTAATTGCGTCCGCAGTACGTGGGTACCCGTTGGACAAAGGCTGCTGGCATTGGGCGATTCTGTCCAGGATTTGATTTTTAGAATCAATTTATTTAAAGACTGCTGTTGTTTGGATTCCAACAATCTTACCACCAACTGTATCACTTCTAACACTTCTTCCACACAATTAAAACATAGAAAATTATGTTTTTAAATGTATAAAAATTAAAGGGGCTTAATTAACTACGTATCAAGTATTCCAAATGTTGATAGTTTAGAAACGCAGCTTTTGGAAGAACCACTTGTTCTTGCCCTCCTTGTAGGTGAATTCGAATTTGACGCGCGTCTGGAAACGGTGTGTCTTCTTCTTAACAGGGTCTTTAAGATCCTTTGGCGACAATTTTTCGAACGAGATATCGTGCACAGCATAACGGGTGGGCATTAAATGATTGTAGTTCAACACTTTCAAGAAAGGCTTTATCTTGGACTTCTTCTTCAACTTGTTCTTGCCCATCTTTTTGGTCACCTTGCGTGGATACCGATCGATACCAGCGACAAGCGCGTGTCCGAATGGCTTCTCCGGTGTGCCGTCATCTGAAGTTTTCACAATGATGGCCTTACGACGATTACGATTTTACCTTGTTTCATAATTTTCCTCATCTTGAAGGAGGTCTTATGGCTGACCGGATATAGAGAGAAAAAAAAAAGGAGGCTGTTGTTGTTGTTGTTGTCGCTAGCGAGGTAGCGAACTTGGAGGCTGCTGTTGTTGTTGCTAGCGTGGTAACGAACTTGGACGTTGCTGTTGTTGTTGTCGCTATCTTGGTGGCGAATTTGGAGCTGTTGGTTGCGGTTGGAGGTGTTGTGGCTGCTTGCGAGTCAGTGGGTTCGGCGGTGGATTTTGGCGCAGGTTCCGGGTGCAAGTAAGATGTGTGTGGGCATCAATGAGGTATGTGGTGTATAATGTATATGTAAATTAAATCATTTCATGCATGAAATTATAAGTGGCAATTAAAGAATAAATTGTGAAAAAAGAATTTGAATAGCTAAAATTCTGGCGTTAGAATATTTTTGGAAAAAATTGGCTAAATCGCGGAAAATTTCTTCCGGTAAGTTCAAAGGCACCTCAATAGAAATATAAAAACCGGTGCAAAGTTATATGTGTACATACATACGGGCATATATAAATACGTATAACCGGTGCAGTTATATGCATAAGCATATACTACATATGTACATACATATACACATATATATAAATTCGGTGAATTGCGGCTAAATTCTAGACAAGTCTCTGGCGGTAGCAAATACAACAGTTGCTTGCGGTAAAAAAAAAAACAGTAACAAAGAACCTGGGATTTGGTGGTATATTTTACATTTATATGTGCATATGTATATCAGTACATATGCAAGTAGGCATATATGTACAGCTAATACCGTACATACATAGGCAAATAAAGTTTTCCCGTTAGCTGGCATCAAGCGATAAATTGGTACGGTAAATACTTGTGTACATATATACGCTCTAAGTGCAAAAATAGTATAGTTGGCAATATTAGATAGCTTTGATATAAAAGCAATATTAGGGTGTACCACTTTTCTGAAAATAAAATTTTGAATTTTAGTTCGGGTTTGCCTGAAGGTTATGGATTGAGGTGGACTTAGTGGCATTTGTGAAAAACTTGGTGAAGTGAAAATTATTTGAACAATTTTGTTGGATTTATATATTCGCCATTCTGAGTTTCGTTCGAATCCAAGGTTATTGGAAACTTTTTGAAAAAAATTTACGAATAAATCGTAGCCAATTGTAACCAAACAGTAGATTGCATACAGTTTGGTATTTTTGGATCAAAGGTATACTGGATACCACTTCATTTCGTTGTTCTTATTGAGTTATTCGATTAAATTGAAACAAACCCAATTGAGAATGCCACTATCCACTGATAATGCTGAGTCATCAGCTTTTCGCTTGCTGCACTGAAGCAACAACGCGCCACGTCTCGTAAAAATATAACCCGCATTAAAAACTTGCTTGATGATTCTACAATAGTGTGGAACCCGATAGACCTAGAGTGCAGACTTGATATATTAAATTCATACATAAAGCAAATTATGGCATATCAGTCTGAAATAGAGAAAATTGACTCAGAAGATGAGAAGAGGGGTGAGCTAGAGGATTTGTGTGTTTCGGTTAAATCCAAATTGATTTCGTTGCTGGGAAGAAATAGAAGAAGGGACAGCTCAATGATGGAAACAACCCTCGGAATAACAATGCCTCCTGTGACTCGTTTGCCTAACCTGAAGTTGCCAACTTTTAACGGCAAATATGCCGATTATAAAAATTTTATAGGAACATTTAATAATTTAGTTCATGAGAAGCAGTCACTTATAGAAATATACGAATATAGAAAGGTTCAACCATTTACTAAGTTGTTTGTCTGGCGAAGCTCTTCACGCTGTTAAGGCATTTCAAATTACGGTAGAAAATTATCCGAAAGCATTAGAGCGACTGGCTGAAAGGTACGATAAGAAGTGCCTCATATTTTTTGACAGTGTAGAGCAAGTGTTTAGCCTTCCAAAAATTTCTCACCCAAGTGCGTCACTCCTCCATAATGCCGTTGATACTATCTCGGCTATATATGACTCGCTTCATTCGTTGGGCAGCGAAAAAGATATAACCAATGCACTATTTATTCATTTAGCCATGTCCAAGGTCGATGGGGCTACACGAGCAAAATGGAATGACCAACTTGATTATTCGAAACTTCCCACTTGGAATGAATGTGCTAAAGTTCTTATAAGGCGTTGCCAGTCTCTAGAAGTAAATGACCATAAACAAAACAAGCCCTCGTTTAAAGAAACTAAATCCTCAGAAAAGCGGTCTGAAAAGTCCTCATTTAGTATAACAGAATCCAATGCCAATACTAATAAATGCTCGTATTGCAAATCAAAGGGCCATTTCATTACCAATTGCGATTCATTTGCCAATCTAATTGTTACAAATCGTTTCAATTTTGCAAAGAAAAATGCGCTCTGCGTTAATTGCTTAAAAGTTGGTCACAGTGTGTCTACTTGTCGTGCCGTGCGATGTAGGGTATGCCAGCGACCACATAATTCACTATTGCATAAATACCAGGTGGCTTCTGCCACGACAACTGACATGTCTAGTACTGCTCAGGCTGCATCGAATATCGCTTCTACAACCCATCGGGCTAATAGTGCAGTTACTCATGTTTNGAATCCAATGCCAATACTAATAAATGCTCGTATTGCAAATCAAAGGGCCATTTCATTACCAATTGCGATTCATTTGCCAATCTAATTGTTACAAATCGTTTCAATTTTGCAAAGAAAAATGCGCTCTGCGTTAATTGCTTAAAAGTTGGTCACAGTGTGTCTACTTGTCGTGCCGTGCGATGTAGGGTATGCCAGCGACCACATAATTCACTATTGCATAAATACCAGGTCGCTTCTGCCACGACAACTGACATGTCTAGTACTACTCAGGCTGCATCGAATATCGCTTCTACAACCCATCGGGCTAATAGTGCAGTTACTCATGTTTCAGTCTCAGAAGACGTGGTTATTTTAGCAACGGCCGTTGTCTAAATCAGAAGCCAGAATGGTGAATATGTGGTAGCGCGGGCTTTGCTAGACTCTGGGTCGCAAATAAATTTGATAAGTGAAGAAACGGAAAAAAAGACTTAGACTGAAAAAGGAGCGTAAAGAATTGCAAATTGCTGGCGTAGGCCGAATTGAGGCTAACATTAAGGGCAAAGTTTCGACATCTATAAAATCTCGAATAAATGAATATGAGGCATATGTTGACTTGTGGGTCATTAAGTCGATTTCCGGCTACCAGCCCGAAGGCAATATTGCAACAGCAGATTGGAATATTCCTCAGAATATTGAGCTAGCCGATCCATACTTCTTTAAGCGTAAAAGAATCGACATTTTAATTGGAGCCGAAATTTTCTTCAGTTTACTGTCAGTAGGTCAAATAAAGCTTAATGCTGAGTTACTTACGCTACAAACGACTCAGTTAGGTTGGATTGTTTCAGGCAAATGTAAAGCTAAGCCAAACATTACCAGAGCTATTTGTGATCTGGCGGTTGCCAATGCTGAAGATTTTGTTATGGAAGACGAAAATGTAGACAAGACGCTGCAGAAATTCTGGGAAATAGAGGAGGTAAAAGGTTGCGAATCAAAATGTACGCCAGAGCATATGGATTGCGAAAATCACTTTAAAGAAAATTTCAAAATATTGCCCAGTTACCGATTTAAAAAAGACCCATCTGCACTTGGCCCGACCATTCAACCAGAATTATTCAGTGCACTTCGTTGTCGCAAATGGGCCATAACCGCAGACATTACTAAAATGTACCGTCAAGTAGCCATTAATGACTATGATAAAAGATTTCAGCTAATTCTATATAGAGAAAGTCCAATCGATACAATTCAGAAGTATTGCCTGAATACTGTAACGTACGGTACAACGCCCGCTCCATTTTTAGCTATTCGATGTTTAAAGGAATTGAGTGACATATGTTCAGACCAATATCCACTCGGTTGTAGGGTAATCCGAGATGAGTTTTATGTTGATGATATGCTATCTGGTGCGGACAACATAATAGAGTTGCTACAAATTCAAGAAGAGGTCGTTACGATTTTAAAAGGCGGAGGATTCAGCTTGGCGAAATGGAACTCCAATTATCCAAAGTTGTTCCAAAACGAAGAAGGGGAGAAATCGTTGAAGGCGGACGAAACATGCACAGTTAAGGCGCTCGGAGTCACTTGGTCCCCGAAAAAAGACACAATAAAATTTAAAATCGACCGAACTTTACTTGAAATAAAACCCACTAAGCGTAATATATTATCAGTTTCATCCCGTATATTTGATCCGCTTGGTTTGCTATGCCCTCTTATTGTAAACGTTAAAATCTTATTGCAAGAATTATGGCTATTAAAGATGGCATGGGACGAATCAATTCCCCAAAGTATAGAAACATCATGGCAAAAATTGGCTCAAAATTTAGGACAAGTCGACAAAATGGAGGTACCACGCTTTGTAAATTTGTTTGCCAATTAAAGTATACAAATTCATGGCTTCTGTGATGATTCGCAACGTGCTTATGGTTGTTGTTTATATATTCGAAGCACACATGACAATGTTGTAACATCGCAACTGTTGACTGCCAAGTCTAAAGTGGCGCCGTTAAAACCCAAAAGTCTCCCCCGTCTTGAACTTTGTGCCGCCTTGTTACTAACAAAATTATATAAAGTAATTGAGCCACTAATTCAGAGCGTTGTAATTGAAAGGGTTGTGTTTTGGTCTGATTCGTAAATAGTGCTGTACTGGTTAAAAAAGCACCCGGGCACTCTGTCTACTTTTGTCGCAAATAGGGTAGCTGAAATCCAGGAAAAAGCAGTCAATGTTGTATGGAGACATGTACCGACTAAAGAGAATCCTGCAGAATTAGCCTCACGCGGATGTGATATTGACCAATTACTGCAACCTTTGTGGGTTGAATGCCCAAGTTTCCTGGTAAAAGATTCGAGAAATTGGCCACAAAACAAGAAATTCGAGCTCGAGGAATCCAACACACAATTAGAGCTAAAAAAGGCGAAAACCATATTAAACCTTGCAGTACAAGAGAATATAATTTTAAAAATAATTGACTCTTTGTCGTCCTTTAACAAAATTGTACGAATTGTAGCATATATTTACAAATTTATAAAGCCGTTCACAAATACAAGGGGTACGGATATAACCGCCAAAGAATATAATTGGGCGTTTTTAAAAACAGTGAAAACCGTTCAGAAATCTGAATTTGCGGACATACTCAAGCAAATGAGGAAAGGCAAATATCTACCGGAAAATATTCAACGATTAAACCCCTTCATACAAGACCACATGGAAGAGGACCAAAATTTATCTCTGCTGCGCGTTGGAGGCCGTTTAAAACACTCAGACTTTCCAGAAGACGTAAAATTTCCGATGTTATTGCCAAAATCCTCTAAATTCGTACGTAAATAAGTTGAGCACTTGCACCAGTCCAACTGCCATGCAGGTCCCAAGATTGTAGTTGGCTTAATGCGACAAAAGGTATGGGTCATAAATGCCAGAGATATTGCCCGAAAAACAGTTCGCCAGTGTATTCGTTGTTTTAAATTCCGCCCAAAACTAATGAGCCAAATAATGGGTGACTTGCCACCAGATAGATTGAGATCAGTTAGACCCTTTCTTATTTCCGGAGTTGATTTTTGTGGGCCTATATACACCACCCATAAAATAAGAGGCCGACCGCCTTACAAATCTTACGTCGCCATTTTTATTTGTACATGTAGAGCCTGTCTCTGATTTATCAAGTAATGCTTTTTTATCTGATCTCAAAAGGTTCATCGGACGTCGCGGAGTTCCTCAGAAACTATACTGCGACAACGCAACGAACTTCGTGGGCGCCAACGCACGGCTTCGAGATCTCGCCGAGCAACTCCAGGACGATGACAAGCGGAGCGAAATTGGCGCGTTCGCAGCCGAGCGAGGCATGGAATTCGCCTTCATACCCCCACGCGCACCTCACTTCGGCGGGCTATGGGAGGCAGCCGTCAAGAGCGCCAAACATCTTCTTATGCGCGTCGTCGGCGACAATACCCTTACCTCCGAGGAGTTGGCCACCGTCTTGGTCTACGTGGAGGCAATAATGAATTCCCGCACACTCGTAGGAGCAACAGACGACCCCAATGACGCCGAGGCAATAACCCCAGCCCATCTCTTAATAGGGGATTCTCTTATGGCCGTTCCCGAGCGCCACGTTTCAACCGAGAAGCTATGCTATTTAGATCGTTGGCAGCGGCTCTCGTCCCTGAAGGCTCGGTTTTGGTCCGCCTTCCAGCGGGACCATATTTTCAATCTCCAGGCGAGAACCAAATGGGACAGGCCGCAACCCAACCTTGAAGTTGGCACCCTCGTGCTGGTGCGCGAAGACAATTTGCCGCCCTAAAAATGGCTATTGGGAAGGCTAGTAAAAGCCGTAATTGGCGCAGACGGTAAAGTGCGTGTTGCAGACGTTAAAATATCGTCCGGGGTCTGTCGACGCGCCATACAAAAATTGGCAACGCTTCCAACAAATATAGATTGAAGATCGCAGGTCCTTCAATGGGGCCGGAATGTTGGAGCACGCCTAGTTCATCATCGTAACCTTCATTTATTTTCATTTTTATATATACATATAGTATGTTCATTTTACATGAAGTTCATAGCATTATCGATTGGCATATCGAACTCATATTTGTTTGCACATGAATTGTATTTACATATGTATGTAATACTTCATATTTCTTGATATAATCATACATTAATATTTGAACTGTTAAACCTAATACTCAATGTCATCTTTGGATGTAGTGTTTAAGTAGTATTTTCTTCTATATGTACATATGTACAACATTAAATGAATTGTATTATTTAAATACTACATACAGGGCTTTTCAGGATGTTGTGCTAATGATCTTGGATTTGCATTTATATTTGCTGTTACAAATGAATTGAATTATGCAAATTCATGATACTTGACAATACATTTTGTACCGTCGACCTTCCAATTTTCAGCAATTTTACTAACCGCCATTGGGAGATGTGTGGATTTTGCATGAATTAGTCCAAAATCAATTTTCTTTGCTGAAGTTCTTTGCTCTCTACATCACGTTTTTCTTCACATTTTCACGAATATCTCGGCTGCTATTTGTCGCACGCAAGAGAATAACATACCATTCTGCTTGGAATGAGATTCCCCGTTTTTTTATAAAAACAAATTTTTCGTTAAACAAATAGATAAAAAACTATTAAGCATCAAAGTGAAAAATTTCTTTTTTGATGTATGTTTTTCGCTAATTACTCAGTTCCTTCGGATTTTTACACTAAATAGTCCGAACACTTTTTTCAATTACCTTTAATCTAATGTATAAATATCGATGATCCAATAAGGCAGTCTCTGGCAATCAACGCTGGAACAGGCACAAGTCGAGCCTGTAGAATTTTTGCTCAATCACCATGATTCCAGAAGGTCTCAATGTACGGCTCGACTGTACTTTTAGAAATTTGGAAAAAATCTCACTAACCAAATTTTGATTTTTGGTCACAGACAGTTTCACATTCATTTATTTATTAATGCTATTTATTTATTAATGTTTTAGATTTTGGTGAATATCTCGGTACTTTCACGTGCACATTTAAGAAAAAAGAGAAATTGTCTTCTGCAAAATTTATATAGTAGCAAATTAATAATTATAATTATAATTATCGGTATGTCGATTTCTCGGTATTATCGGATAATTATCGGTATGTACATATATATGATATTAAAAAAAGTAAAAAACTGATAGGCTGCGTAGCAACACTTTTTGAATCAACTTTTTCTTGTTTGAATTTTATGTTACGTTGCTGTATACCATAAACAATTAACTTACAAAGTATTTTCTTCGGAAAATAAGACAACAATTGAAGGCACGCATATAATAACCGACGATATGTATAAATATATTACTCTTATACAGAAAGTGGTGAGCAAATCCAAAAGGTTCAATCCACTGTCAAAAATTGCCTCTAAACCCTCTCAGCACAAGGAATCCGGACCAGCAATTGGGACTCCATCCTTGTATATTTATGTTCTTCAAAACTGCCCAGTGAAACTCTGTCTCTATGGGAGCGCTGTGGGCAGATATGAATAAATTTCTCACAAGCCGGTATGAAGTAGTAAAAAGAGTACATGCATATCGGCCAGGCAAACCAAAACCCCCTACCCCGAATTTTATCCCCAGAATTATGAACCAAAACTACTACGGTCATTAATAAAACTAGAACTCAAAAATTTCATGTAGATCTAAATCAGCCGATCTCATGAGAACTCTGCAACTCAAGGCACCGCATGAAGACATGTGTTAAATTTAAAGCACTGCCCGTATCTGACCGATTAAGATTCATAAGAGAGAACAATTACTGTTAAAATTGTCTTTCTTACTCCCATTTAAAGAGTGATTGTACAAGTAACTTCACTTGTGTATACTGCCAAAGAAAACATCACTCTCTTTTAGACTTCCCACAAAAAACCCCGCAACCTAAACCTAATTCCAAACCAAGCGAACAACGAGTCAACTGGCGACTCAGACTAGTACGGATACAGAAGGCCCGACTTGCTCAAAGTATGTGACACACCCAACTCTGGGGGAAAATGACGTCAATAAATTGTCATTGTTCAAATACTAACGTCACAACTCTCCTCCCAACGGCGATAGTACCTATCTATTGTGATAGCGAATATCATAATATTCGCGCTCTGGTGGATAAAGGTTCACAAAAAACGTTTGTATTATCCCGGATACAAAAACTCTTGCGCTTGCCTATGACAGATGCTCTATTCGAGATTTTTGGAATGGGTGGAATGGTGGAGCAAAACGCAAAGAAACTGTGCGAAATCACACTCGATCAGATCGGCAGATCGATCCCAGAAGATAAATACACAAGCTATTATTTTACCCCAATCGACCCATCTGCTCCCTACTAGATATGGGCCCGGGCCTAAATTTTTAAGCCCGGCTCGGCACGAAAGCAAAATCAACTTTCAAAAACACGCAAGAGCCCGCACGTTAAGAATTTTAGTGGGGCCCGGCCCGGCCCGGAACGACTAGACACGTTCCAGCCAGGAAATAAAGAGCCAACTTTTATTGTAAGTATACATATGTACATATTTTTAATTTTGTGTTTATGTATGTATATTTACTTAAGCGATTCATTTTTTTACATCAAAGATTTGTATAATATATTTTCTGGGAAGCAGAGAAAGTGGAAGATATTTATGTACAGATATGTAAACAAAACTACTAAGTAGCTAATTTTCTATCGGTTCCCAAATATTTCTTTTTTTGCTTTTCTCTTATCAAAAGAGTCTTAATATGTACTATTTTTATACCCGAGCGCACTTGTGCACAAGGGTATTATAACTTTGTTCACATAGCGGTTGTTTGTAACAGGCAAAACGAATCGAGATAGATATAGACAAATGCATACATAAATGATCAGAATGAAAAGAGAAATCGATTAAGCGGTGACTGTCTGTCCGTCCGTCCGTCCGTCTGTGCACACGATAACTCAAGTAAAAATTGAGATATCTTAACGAAACTTGGTATGTGCACTTCTTTCTGGCGTAGGACGGATGGTATTGAAAATGGAAATCGGAACACGCCCACTTCCCATATAACGGTAATTTCCAGAAATACGAAAACTGCGATATTTTAGTAACTACTGAAGATAATTCACTCAAAATTGATATTTGCAATAATTTTCAGACGAAAAATAAGAATATTATAAATTTTTGGAAAATGGGCGCAGCCAAGCCCACTTATGGTTACATGTGTATATCTTGGTAACCGCTGACCAATTTCTTCCAAACTTGGCACAGTTGTTGGCCTTGGTACAGCATACTAAATGGCCGAAATTTTTAAAATCGGACGATAACCACGCCCACATCCCATATAACGGTAATTTAGAGAAATACAAAATCTTCGATAAATCAGTAAATATTAAAGCTAATTTATTCAAAATTGACGCTTGCAACAATTCTTTACCAAGAAATACGCTTAGGGTAAAATTTTGGAAAATGGGCGTGGCACCGCCCATTTATGATCACATATATGTATGTCGGTAACCGTTCTACCAATTTGTACCAAACTCGGTGTGGTTATTGTACTTACAACACAGAAGCAAAAAGTTGAAAATTATTGAAATGGGACTAAAATTACGGCCGCTTTTCATATAACGGTAAATTTCAGAAATGCTTGAAACTTCAATATTTCGAAATTTAAGGACGCTAATTTACTCAAAATTGATACACCCCGGCTTACCATCTAGCGGAAGGTTTCGGAAAGGTGAAAAAACATATATTTAATACTTGCGCCGGGTATTTAATGTTCGGCTCCGCCCGAACTTAGACTTTCTTACTTCTTTTTTTATAAAAACAAAAGCTCATATAAATTTGTAGTATTACCAACGGGATTTTTCGTGCTTATTCGCGCTTTAATGAAATTTTACTGAACGCTCATGCACGCATGAGTTCGTGCTGACACCAAATATTCCGGCCAGTACCCGCGGGCTTACGCAGGGGCCCAACGGGCCCGTTCCCATCTCTACTCCCTACTGCAAATATATCTCATATTAACTAAGAAGAGATAAAACGATTAAGGCTCGCCGATTCCAACTGTTTCACCCCAAATAAAATAGACATGGTGATCGTCAGTGACTTAGTTCCCCGAATCGTCCTGCCGGGGCTGCAGCAGAATACAAACTGCAGTGTTATAGCGCAGAACACGATATTCGGATGGATTCTAAGCGGCCCAATCCATGAAAAGATATCAACCTTTATCACCCAGGTAACGGAACCCCAGGAGGAATCGTTGAACTGCTGAAGAAGTTTTGGGAGCAGGACGAAGTAGCAGTCACTCAACCCAGTTCCAGTGTAGAGGAGTCTGTTAGGACTTGTATCGACGCACGACTACCCGGCATGCAGACGGACGATTTATGGTGAAACTACCAAACAAACCTGAGTTCCCAGACACCATAGCTCTAGGTCACTCTCGACTCACAGCGCAGCAGCAGTACATCAGCATCGAAAGGACTCTGGAGAAAAAACCCGACCTTCGCAAAAGTACTCAGAAGTTCTGGAAGAATATATCACCACGGACCACATGGAGCCCACCTCATCCCAAGAAGTCATCAGAGACGGTAAATACTTATCCTTTCATTTACCGCACCACGCTGTCATAAAACCCGACAGCAAAACAACAAAAGTACGCATAGTCTTTAATACTGCCAGAATATCCCACTCTGGAAACTCATTCAGTGACGCACTATACACTGGCCCAACCCAAAACGACTTCATGCTCATCATTCTTCGATGGCGCCTCTACCAGTTCGATGTTTCGCCAAATTCTCGTCCAAAAGGAAGGTCAA